TCAGACATGGCCCAGTCGCGCCCTCAATGGCGCTCGTGCATCCAAGCTATTGCCTTCAATGCATAGCTCCTTTTCCAACCCCCTCACCACTCGACAGCCCACTGACAGTGATGGATTTATGCACCAATTTATCAGCTCCCGCCTGCAACGCGCAGCTACCTACCCACCCCCCAACCATCGGTGAACGAAACTGCGGCAGCTACAACCAAAACTGCTGAAAATTCTTCGAGATCCCACGACCGGTTTCGTGGGGATCGTCAGATAGGTACTAACCACACTGCTGATCAGCCGCTACCGGCCAAGTGGGTAAACACTCAAATACTAGCCGAAAGGTCCTTGGTTTGAAACTCCTTGAGTTTCGTAAGTTGCCCACTGTTGACAATTCCCAACAAGCGCAGAACAACTGTGCAGTGTTTCCCGGCTTTTTAGCGTAGATTAGCTTCACTGGAGACGAAATCTCTGTTCAAAACAGTTTATTGCTTCATGTATAGCCTTTCTTATCTTTCTAATTATGTTGTTCATTTCTGGATCACATTCCTCATCTCCCTTCTTATTCAGTTCATTTCACAATTACATTTAAGATTAGATGAGATTCGGGTAAGTAGTCGTATTTCAGGAATAACAACCTTGTGTCAACGTACACAACTGCATTGTTCTGGTTAAATGTCATCTTATTTAGGGTTTGTAGACAGAATGATGCTGTATACCAGAAATTAACATTTTGATATACATAAAAAACAAACAGACTAATTAAACAGTACATCAAATGATAAAGTACGAATATAGCATATTATATAGAAGTTCAAGGGCAATCCTAACTTTTGCAGTCGTTTCTTTCACGTGTTTGCGCCATCAGTCCATGTCAAAAACACGTCTAGTCTTATTTGGTCTCTGTTCTTTGAAATCTCAGCTGTATTTTCGGTGACAATTGGCTCAATTTGTATAATTCCTATTCGGGGGATGCCAGTGACCCCCCTGTGTTCTTTCGCTTGCGATTATTAAGTCGACTAGGTGGGGTCGTGTTTACATGAAAACAAACCTCCGGGTGCATCAAATGGGTCAGTCATTTTCCGACTGAACGTTCTCTTTCGTGAAGAGTCCTCTACTAAAAGCAAAATAACTACAAGTGTCTAATGATTCTGCTATTTCGCCATGTGAAATCAGTGTGTGCCAGAAAGCCGTTTCTGGCAGAAAGCCAGAAAGCTGTTTCTTCCTTGTTGGGAATAATCAGCATTAAGTTTCTCACAAATTTCTATGGATATCCGAACTTACCACCTCCAGGCTAGTAATCCAAGATCGCGCTGCTTGGTCACAGGCAGCTGAGCAGCTGTCTGATTAACTCACACTTTGGCTGGATATAGCGCCACTCGTCCACCAATCACATGACTCACACCACGTCACCCCGGATTATTATTATTGCCATTAGTATTATTGATGTTGAGGAGCACTTTTTTCTGTGGAGGAAAATGTTGGTAGCTCAGATAGCGTAGATGGTCGCTCAGCGAATAAACCAACGACCATCTCATACTTACATCACTCTCGGCCTAACAATCTTGATACTTTTCCGGTGCGATTATTATGGTGAGTCCACGACAAAATGAGAAAACACGGGACTCGAGTCTATCTCCTATAAGTCAATCAGGTTATCAGCCATAATACTTGTGCCAAGATAATTTGGTTACAGTTGCTAGTCACCGGAAATCGAGAGGGCTCTGAAGATGTAACCAAGCGTTGGAGGTGCTTGTAAAGTCAGTTTGGTTCGTTAACTGAAGAACGGGAAACTTAGGCAGACGTATATCGTGGGCGATAGTTGTGGTGCAGAACTGCCGCTCACTGGGAGATCGAACTATGTCTATTCATGTAATTGACCATTGATGAGCCGAGTTCAGGGCTTCCAATCCTAGGAAGAAGCAGTTGTTAATGATTAGTGTTTTCATATTTCGCTACTAGGTCATGGGCTGGACGATAAGAGCTCTGCGAGGCAGACAGAGAAGGCCCTGGTTCCTCACGTTTCCTGTGCCTAGAGGTCATGCTTTTGAACCATAAAGCAGCATGCATCGCACCACCGTAGTGTATACACCATCTTTGATAAACAAACTGACGTCACGCCGGCGCCATGAGTATCTGAAATTGCTGGAGGCTGTCGTTGCTTTACCGATTAGGAAGGTAATGTTTCCAGTCAGCTCACCAGGACTTATACACAAATTTGTCGACCACGTCAAGTGACCAATTCGGAAGAACGTTTCATTTTTCATCTCACACTGTCTTGCAGGAGTGTGAGGCGTGTACCTAACCGTGCGGTAGAGTTGTTTGAGTTATTTAGAATGAGTTGCATCTTCAGTGAGTCTGAACCGAAGAGGACACTTCCATCCGTGTATCCCATATCTGCACACATCTCTTTGGTGGAATGATATCCTGTGCTGTATTTCGTACCACGAGGTGGTACTTGAACCCCATTTGGGATGTTGTATTTAAATGGGATTTCATTGAGTTCCCAAAGAAAGTGAATTTTTTCGGATGGGTTTGTTTCAAGGATTGCCGTGTATGACAGTACTGTGAAGTGAATTTGGAAAGCTAACAGATTTGAAATATCTTCTTTGACCAGCGAGTGCCACTTCTTTCGACAGATAAACGCCCATACATCGCGGCTACTGTTTGTCTAAGATACTGGACATAAATCCTGTCTATCTTTTTAGCAAACAGCTTAAAGAACTGGATGCCATAAATGCCAAGTTGAAACAACGTCTTACGCGTGGTGATCCAGATGGCTTGTCGGTTCAAAGTACCAAGCAACGTAACTCATCCACTCCCCAAACCAAAAGTGACGTAGATTCGACATCGGCTGAGACATCCGGTAGAAACACAGTTGAACTCAAGTGGGAGAAAGGGTGTGGTGCATCTGCTTCCCAGGAACCTCTACCTCATGAACAAGCTCTGTCGTTACCACATGACCTGAACTATCTTGCTGATACAATGCCATGGGGCAAGCTACAACAATCCAACCCAGTTGCAGTTGACTTTTTGAGTCACGGTATTCGATCTTTAAAAGCAAATTCATCAGGTAAAGTCTCAATCTTTTCTCACGAGGTGTCCTACTTCTTCCTGTAGTATCCAACGTACTTTTCGCATTTTTCGTAACTTCACCTATGTACGGGGCTCGGCGTAAGCACAATCACTCTGAAGTAATTTCTATAATCTCATTCGCCTTTGTCCTTAGGTGCCTACGAATGCAGACCATTTGCTCTCTTTGTTAATAATGGAAACCTTGTGAACCTGACTATCTTGGTGAATAACTCCTATTTTGGTTGCTTTTAGCACAAATAAACACGACTTTTGTGGTTTAGGTCTTGCCTTAGCCACTTAAGTGACTTCATTCCCTAGGATGTAAATTGTGGAGGCCGGTCTCCTTTGCAACCACCCATTCCGGGAGGTTAATACCTAAGAATTCGACTCGGAAACCACGATGGTTTCAAACGTCATTGTAATCGGAGCTTTCTGTATTCCCAGAAATCACAAAAGCAACAATGTCCACAAAGGACGTCCCATTCGGGACAAACTCGAATTTAAATTTGGATGTGAGCTGTTCAAGTGATTCTCATGAAGACCTTGGTGTTGTGCCAACTAACAGGACAGGCGGCGAGGGGCATCATTTTGAAGAAATCCAAGAGGTTGAGGTTAGTCATGAAAATTCTGGTAATCAAATCCCGGTGGAATCAAATCACAATTCAATTGAGGTGGAAAGAGTCGAACTTAATGATCCATTTGTTGCAAGTATTCACAGTGTGGAAGATGAAGTAAGCGACCGGGAGAGTGTCGACGCTTCGCCGTTGCCTGCTTGGGAAACCACAGAAAGCACAAAACAGACTCCCGCGCAACCGGAAACGGAAGACTTGAAGGATTTCGAAGTTGTGATCCAGCGCCAAAACTTGAATGGACTAAAAAAGTGCGATGATCCAGACCACTCCTGGCCGCCCAGTAACTCATCATCTCGTGAAGTTATACCGGGTGAGAACCTAATGCACATGCCTTATACAGATGGACATTCAGATGAAGTCCCGGTCACATGGTAAGTTTTATTCCAGCACGAAGACTTGGCATGTAAATATTCCGTTTTTTCTCCATGTAATTCGTTAAGCTGAGGCTCTGTCTTCTGCAACGCAAACTTCTCCAGTTAATTCGCACGTGTTTGTCACATTTAGACACTGATGTCCCACATCCATGCTAATGATAGCCTTTTTCAAGATTTTATGGTTTACTCTTTCTGTTGTCAAGTATTGCGGAACGTTCAGTTGCCTTTTTCAGATATGATACTGTAAGGCGACGGGATTGTCACTTCATCTCTAGAAATATAATTGTTGACGTTGATGCTTCATTACATCTTGGTGAGGAAATATACATTTAAACCGCAGTATGCTGAAAAGAGAAAAATAACGGAGCGATCATGGACTCGCCATCACAAACCCCTAAAAGCCTGATTTTTCGCTCCTTTACTCAATGTGAATGTAAACGGACGTTGCAAATACCACCGCTATCTGATCATAACCTCCCCGTCGTAGACTCACGAAAGGCCACCCATATTTCTCGTATTCTCGATGTGCCCAGGGTAGGACCAATCTCCATGGTACTGGTTTCACTTGCTGCACATACTATGCAGCTGAACACCCATCTTCAAAGCACTTCTATCACATCAACTAAACCTTTATTGCATTATCGATCAAAGACCTAAATGTGTTTCACATCCGACACAATGCAGGTCGCCTTTTATTCTTCGAAATGTGATCAGGGAAACAGGAGACTAATATACCATTTTATCGTCACAATTAGTGCAAATTTGTAGATACTATTTTGGCTTTTATTCTACTTTCAAACTCGTGGACAAAATGCAACTATTGAGATGTGTTAAAACGCGGGATGATCTTGTTTGCGCAATGATTTGCACGAACAGCCTCTTCCGTCGCAAACGCATGCTACATCATGCACAAGCACAATAATAGAAAGTAACGCCAGCGGGTAACTCTACTTAACTGCAATAAAATCACAAAAGCTCTAAGTTGGAAAAATTAATGAGGAGACAAAATCCTGATATTCCGGGCTACATCCGTATCCGAATTAATGGAAGTAATGTTATACAACTCCCCCAACCAGTGAGAGTCCATCGGGATTCAACTCTGGAGTCGCAGAGGTCGAGTTCGGACCACGGACCTTCCGGTCAGTAAATTTGCGCTCTAACCACTTGGGCCATCTCGGCCAAAGTTACACGATATGTTGAAAACGTTTGAGGACCGAATGATGGTATGTAGCTCTGTTGTCCCTACGACAAGCATTTGCCTAGATTCCCTTCTACACAACTCACTGGACATGGGCTTTTGTATCACTCACAGGGACGATAAGCCGAAATGGACCACTCACACAGAAACTCGCATTTATCGGCAAATAGGCCTTTTAGTTTATGACGCTTTATGTTGTTAGCGGCAGATGAATCAAGTGCATACTCTCTGGGCGCGATCTCCGTTTCGACTCCTATGGTGATATGCAGGTCGCCCGATAAACTCTCGCTGGGTCTCTAAAACTGTCTCATAGCAAATAAGCCTGATACTCCAAATTCATTTGCCTGGCAGGTTATTCTTTGTAACTGATCACAATGCCCGCATATTATCGCACGACCTCTCTCTTGCAGCCAAAGATCCTGTTCTAGAATGAGTGAAAACCCGGAGGATTGCTCACCGGTTCCGAAGTTGTCCTCAAGCGCGACATCTCCATTACTTCCGACGTTCTTCCCTCCTTCGTCAGTTATATCTCAGGTTGTATCCGGGATACCAGCTCACATGGACGTGCATCAGAACGTACAAAATGCTAGACTCATTCGGCTGAGCGAACTGCGATCGGGTATCCAGGACGACTTGGGAGTCCAAAAATCTAGAGATGAACAAGTAAGTCATTCGAAATAGAGATGACCCTTTATACTAACCACTTCACCGGTGACCTTACTCGATGTTGGTTAACATCCTTCAGGGATGCACGCGACCTGTTGATCTACACCGTTTCCAGCTGAAATGGACACTCAAGTTAACTAAGTTCATGATGGCCCCAAACCCGAACTCGCGCATACAGACTAATCAAGTTGATTAGTGAAGCTCGCTTTTCAAGAATTCCTAAGAAGCCGTCTGATGGGTCCTTTCAAAACTTCGATAATTACTGTAACCAACTTCGAAAGTAGTGACCTTGGTAATGGTTCCAATATATGCCATATCAACCAGGTACATCGTATCGACCCAAAACAGATACAGTTGCGGCTTACAAATGAATTCAGCACTCACGCGCCCCTAAATGTGAGGTGCGATAAACGACTGACACATCCCTGTGTTTACCAGGTGTGTTTGTCGCTTTTTTGTGGTCACCTATGAATTACACGCAACCACTAACCCATGGATGCTCACCTTTTGTCCGCATCTTCATCTTCCTTCTAGTTTGAGTCCATTCGTAGACGCATCGACTCCCGCATTTCGGATGCTGTGCGAATGATCAATGATGCGATTGGACATAGGACAATAACCAAAAGTGTCGTCAGCGGCCCGGACAATGAACAATCGCATTGATTTCCGTCCATCGGAAAGACAGGTTCACCCAACGACAGGCGATATTGTGATTTTTTCCACATTTATATTTTCAAATTCATATATGGGTCTGCTTCGTAAAAATCTTTTTGATTGCGCCTACCGGGCTAGCACAGTCCGTTTTTTTTCCTTTGGAAAATGCTACCTCCTCTGTGAGCATTGCTTGGGAGACTATCTGTCGTCATCGAACATTAGTCAGGATTTAAGTCGTGCACTAGGTTTCCTAGTATTCCCATACGAAGTTGAGGTCTTACCAGCCGAATTCCCTGGAGGGTTCCAACTCCCAGAAACATGATTTTCATGTGCCCTGCACCATTGGTCATCCGGTTCTATAGCGACCACCTGGGTGGACCCGAAGAATAGAGGCACCGAAGGGTGCACACTGACATGTCATCGCACGGTTGACACGGTGTCAACAACCGTAGGACTTCCGAAACTTCTCCCCGAAGTTTCAATACGAATTACCTTTTGGTTATACAGTTGACCATCTGTAGATATATCACGTTCAGCTGTCCCACTTGGAGAAGGCCATCTCAAGGGGCGAATGAGACGCCTCCCAGGGAGTACTTTGCAATAGACGTTCCGGAGAAACCACACCTAGTAACATTTGAAGCGCACTTCAGTTTCCCGCAGAAGACATCACCTCTGTGTGGTGTTCCCAGATGGTCTCTTCAGAAAAAAGGTCTCTTGATGAGTTTCCCTCAAAAGCGGTCTATCCAAATATTCCTTAAGGGATTGGGAAAAGAGGAACTCTTACAAATGACCAGAGATACCAACTGCACCTTGAGGTTTCAAGGTTGGAAAATATACAGATTGGTTAACCTTTCCATACTGTAGAGAGAACTGCAAAATCGAAGTAGCCCATATCGTTGTAGATTTTGCCACATAAAAAAAACACGGATATTGCGATAACGCTACCTCAGCAAGACAAGCTCTTTGGTCCATCATCATCGGCAGCATGACATCAGTGTTCAACACTGATGCTTCGCTGTTGTATAGTCATGATTTATTTGAAATCCTTACTTTGAAGAAAAGAATCAAAGTGAACGGGAAAGCGACTCAGTGCTAGCTTACTACAATCACTCCAAGGTGCCTCCATCTCCAGACATTCAGGCAATCAGGATAGAAACCGATAAGGACATCACTGACACCGATCAAAAGCCATATCTTCCAGCGTCTTCAACCACGCACAGTAAGGATCACGCGGTCCCAATCCTTGAAGGCGAGAAGCATCAACAGTACCCAGACTTTCCGTGACCACTTTCTTACCCCTCTGCCAGGTCAAGGTTTGGTCGCCTCTCTGCTTCCGCCACTCTCCCAAGAGAAACTAGTTCCAGACCAAAGCCACTTGGAACGTTCCAAGTGGCGGTCATTGTTTGAGGGAAGGGGGACCACTGTAAACGAAGTAAGCCGAAAATCCTGATAACAGTCTAGGTTTCAAACCGACCCCTAGAATGCTAGCCTTGCGCAATGCCTCGGCCCACATTGCGAGTATCACAGTCCATTTCCAGAAAAAAAACCGATCACGTCCATCAAAAATTTGCTTATCTCACGCAACCACGTCTTTAAGAAGTATGGGCAAAAATTTCAACGAGAAATAATTTAGTAACTGCGGCCGAAAAGTGTGTAGGCCGCAGCGAGGCGCGTGCAGTGGGGCTGGTTGAAGCATTTCGTCCCAGTCGTAGGTTTGCCACATTTTAGAGTCGGGTTGAAATCGCAAGCGAAAGGTATACATAAGCTTTTCGCTCCCATCGAAGGGGCACCAGGCTCCACAACGCTATTTCTACAAAGAAGTGGGCGGGAGTGAATACAGTGAAATGTAGATTAGATACGTCACTGTCGGTGCAATTAGAGGAAATATAACGCAAGTTGGCTGAACCAGTTAACCTAAACTCCAGACAAACGTTGAAGTGCTTGAGAGAATTATGGGATGATGGAAACAATCTTGTTTTTTTACTCCGTGACAAGCGCTTTAGTTACGATGAAGTAGTTTTTTAAGGCGGAACTCAATCGAAAAATTAGGATCTCAAAGTCTATTCAACTTCCTAACCATCCATATCAAACCGAGTAATCTTTCCGAGTACGATGTGCCTGTTACAATCATTGCTCTGTCCACGTAAAAACAATGGTCACACAAGTGGATTATTGAAGGCACTAACCAGTGGATATACCGTTTTTATTGCCCTGAGAGGGAAAATAGCCGAAGAAAAAAAGACAATCCAATGCTTGGTTCATCTTTCGATTCGCTCTTGGGCAGACAACTTGAACAAGCTACGTTGGAGAGCTGGTTGAAGGCCCTACAAGGCTGATGATGTATAGTGCATACTTAGATTCGTACCAGTGACTTTGGGACATCAGCATCCGATCTATTTTGTGAGCCACACTGAGAGGGATCATCAATGGTGAGCCTTGAAGTGAACAGTCCGAGCACGTGCAGCATGAAAGAAGGGCACACCTGAGCGAACAACTCTCGTTGCGCAAACCTTATGTTGCATCAGTTTTGGTGATCAGTGCCAAATCCTCAATGTTTTCTAACGAAATTTAGAAAGCCCACGAAGGCACGGTCATTAGAACAAGTACAGGGTTTTTATCGTTCGAGGTAGAAAGGATAGCACATCTTGAAATAGCAAACCGACGTTCTGGCTTTAAATTGTACGAAACCCGTACATTACCATAACTCATTCACATATTGCATAAAACGTTCAGTTCTGTAGTTACGACCAAACGTGATGTGTGTTAACCCGTTCAGTACATCACTTTCTGTATGACATGCTACTCATTAGCTGAAATTGCAAAACTTCATTTGGAATTAACTTACCCATCTTGGTGTGGGCTGTGGCCGTGAGATGCTTCGATAGAATACGTGAACCACACCGTAGGTTATGGTCTCTGCCTACGAGATGGTAACATTATTCACGATTTAGACACTAATGGTTGTGGGGCGAGACGGCTCAAGTGGCTAGAGTGCGAATTTACTGACCGGGAGGTTCGCGGTTCGAACCCGACCTCTGCCTCTCAACTTCCTTGTCTAGGCTTGAGCAACCTGACAGTATCCCAGCCCTCATGCTTACTTCGCGTGGCATGGCAGCTAGGCACCAGAAGGGTGGTACAGCTGAAAGATTTTTTTTAGGTCGTGGGTAATCTGTTTCTGCGAATGACTGACTGAGACAAGCCTGGAGTTGTCTATAACCTAAGAGGTAAACGAAGCACCAGTGTTGATCCGTTGAACGCCTATGCTGTCCAAATCGTAGGATGATAAGCAGTCCTTCAGGCTACTGAGTTTGATGGCTGCTTCTAGCTTCACATGATTCTGTACATGTGCAGGTCTAAGGCTAGTCACTATGATACATGTAAGTCTCCGTAACATTAGGGTGGCAACGCGGGTGCTAGTGCATGCCGGACAATGTCGTCAGGTATGGATAATTTCAGTCAGTTTGATAATGGCCACAAGACCAAGGATACAAGGAGATTCCTTATGAGGAAAAATCTAGCGAAACTGACTGCTGGGCAAGAGGCTGATGGTTTTGTGATTTATGCTGTTGGAAGGATCAGTGCTCCTTGATGAATGGGGGAATCTTTTTCATTCGGAATTTTGTTGCAGTAAACCATTTCTAAAAGGAAAAGGATTTTTCCTGCGACGAACTATCTCTTGCTCGGAGAGATTGTTGTGCCACTGGAAGCAGGGTACAGCCTAGGGTGCTTACCTGGCCGATTCATTCCGAACGGACTCTTCGCAGGTGGAATCCCCACAGAATGGGGCCAGCCCGAGGGATTTAGCGTCCAAGGCTGCACACAGCTCCTCCATTGTGTTTACTTGCATAACATGCGCCGATAGTTCTTGGGTCGCCTTGTGTAATAGGCTGGCATGAATAGAGTCCATCAAGGCTGGCAATCGACAACAAAGCTCATCTACTTGGACCTGAAGCTAGAAGTGAGAAGATGAGAACGGAACGAAACAAGTTGTGAACGTCATACAGTACGAGAAAACTTTATCAGGCCCCTCATTACCAAGCAATCTTCATTTAATAATTCTAAAATGTCGTTCTACAAAGTAAACACTGGCATCGGCCAGTCACGCCAGTCACAATACAAAGGACAGATGAACTGACGCAAAAGCAAAAGCACCTCTTACCTTTTCCGAATTGTGCCGTAGTGCGAGACATACGGAACGCTGCACGACTTCCTGTGGACCGATTTCCAGTCTTATTGGTACGCCCTTCATTTCCCAGTGGTTGAATTTCCATCCAGGCGAGACGTGTGTTCGGTCGTCACAGCGGACGCGGAAGCCAGCCGGATCGCGTTTCAACATATCAGTCACCTGATGGGCCGTCGAGATGAGAAGCTCCCGTTCTTCGGCTGAGCTCTTGTTTGTAATCCCGCAGGGAATAACTACGACCTGAAAGATTTACGGCAAGGGATGTGATGGGGATAGCTACGATGGCCAAAGGCGGCAGTTTACAGTTTGTGGCACAAGAGAGTGAATGCCGTAACTGCTACAGCAAAAACGGTTGTAGGTAAAATAACCACTCAGCAAGGGACGCAGTTGCTGAGAATCTGTTGCCGCGTGAGAGTAATGTAGAAAATGATCAGGAAGTCTGCGAATGGCATTCAAACCGGTTGTCGGTTTACGAACTTGCATTAGCTTTTAAGAACAGTCGGTATGTATTTTCGTTGACAAAAATGATACGTCTTGAGGACAAATCCCGTTTACAAAATACACAAAGTGCTGATGCGGACAGCGGATATATATATA